ATTTCTCTGTGTCACTGTTTTTAAGTGGTGCATGTAATTTTCAGCAGTTCTTTTATCAGCTCTGGCTGCTTCACCATGCCTAGTTAGACTATGAACCCCAGTTCTCACTTTAAAATTTGTGAAACCACCTCTTACTGGCATAAAATGCTTTACCATTATCACTTGTTGATGGATTATCCTTTACAAGATTTGCACTTACAGCCCTAGCTTTTTCATAAATTATAGACTCAGGCTATAATCTGCCATCTGCCTCTTGTTTATTCACACTAATAACACCTTTTCTACCTTGTCTAACATTGTTGACTATGACTTACTAATTTGAGTACTTCAGCAATGATAGCTTTCTTTTTTTGCGTGTTCATGTGTGTTTTTGGTTTTTTAAAGACAGGATCTCACTGTGTAGGCCAGGCTGGCCTTGAACTTACTACAGAGCGCATGCTGGCCTTGAACTCATGGCTATCTTCCTGCTTCAGCCTCTAGAGTGCTGGAATTACAGGTGTGTGCCACAGTGCCTGAGAACACTGGCTTTCTTATATAAATCTTTTCTCTTTAAGATTGTCAAGATGGTGGATTTTGACATGTTGTTCATATTAGCAAGATCAGTCACATGAACTCCACTCTCATATTTCTTCACAATTTCCTTCTTTTTGATTGTGATTGCTTTTTTTATTTCTCTTCCTTCCTTAGCTTCTTTTCTAGCATGTTTGGGGCCATTTTGATAGCAGTAATTGTAGCAATTATATAAAGCACTAACTGAATTCATGTCCACAAACACATACATCTGGGCTCAGACTGATGCTTATGTACACTTACACACACTTTTCTGGCATCATGAGTCTTTGTTTACAACCCCACAAGTGGCCAGCATTCAGGTGATAACTCAAGATTCTGGTTGTAAGTTAAACCTAAAATTCCCACTATAATACAAGTTGTTCATATGTGAGGCCAGTCATAACTAAGGGGTCCTATGTATCAGAATGAGAAGCCAGGGATGATTTCTTTTTTTTGTTTGTTTGTTTTTCTCCAGTACCGGGAACCGAACTCACGACCTTGCGCTTGCCAGGCAGGGGCTTTGTCGCTGAGCTAAATCCCCAGCCTGCCAGGGATGATTTCAAAGAACAATTCCTCAGAGACACCTCAAAAACAAGAGAACATGACAAACAGATTCAATAGCTGCCAGATGACACACAAAAAACCTAATCTGAGATTAATTGGAGTAAATGAAAAATCAGAAGAAAGGGTATAAAAGCCTTTTTACAAAAATAATAGCCCAAAACTTCCAAATATTGGAAAAGAGTTAAACACAGATAAATGAGACACATAGAACCCCAAATAACCATGACTGAGAAAGAACGTGACTATATCACATCATAGGCAAAATATCACAAGTCCCTTCCCATGATGCAATGGCTCTCCCACCCCTACCTCTCCTCCCAGCTCAGAGGGACAGGGTGGGAGCGTGGGGGGGGGGGGCTCACCAGAGGGGGGTGTCCCTGCTTCAGCACAATTTCTCAATGAATATTTAAGATAGGATGGAGATAGGATCTTTTAAATTTATGCTCACTAGGAAGTGAACATAACACTTTAATAAAGTTATGCTTGTATCAAAATTTTTTTTAAAAAATCAGAAGTCTAAAACAGAATCTTAAAAGCTCTTAAAGGAATTTTAAAGGAAAGCAATGAACTTCTAAAGGTAAACCCATTAGAATTACAGCAGCCTTCTCAACACAAACCTTATAGGCCAGGAGAACTTGGAGTGAAGTGTTTCAAGACTTAAAAGAGAACATCTTCCAACCCAGACTTCCATGTCTTACAAAATTATCTTTCAAAATTGATAGAGAAACAAGGTCTTTCTCTATCTATCTATCTTCTCTGACAAAGAGTACCTTAAGAAATTCATGACCACAAAATTCTGCACACAAAAAATTGTCAAGGATATTCTAGAAAGAACAATGAAGCCAACGATGTCAAAAAGTTTAATAGAACAGATACAGCAGGCAGAGTGAACAGTTAAGCAGAAAGTATGTATGTAGGAAGAATCAGGAAAGGAAAACAATGCAATGACAAGAACAACACAATATTTTTCACTAATAACTCAATGTGAATAGTCTCAGTTCCCCAATTAAAAGACACAAATAGAATAGATCAAGAAATAAAATCCAACAATATGCAGTATACAAGAAACATTTAAAATCAAAAAGAAATACACAGATTAAAAATAAAGGTTGGAAGAAAATATTCCATTAAATAGGAACCTGGGAAAAAGCAGAAATAGCTATACTAGTTACAAAGAAAGTGGATTTCGAGCCAAAACTGACCAAAAGAGGCAAAGTAAATCACTACATATTAGTTAAGAGAAGAATGCAATGGGAAGAGGTAACAATTATATATGCAAACACAGTACACCCAACTTCATTAAACAAACACTACTTGACATAAAAAATCTGATAAACACCAACACAATTATAATGGGAGGCCTCATACACTACTGTCACAAATAGATCAACTAGACAAAAAAAGCAACAAAGACATATCAGAATTAAACAAAATCTTTGAAAAAATAGACTTAATAAATACCTACAGGGTGTTCTACCCAACAGAACACACATTCTTCTCAGCAGTACATGGGACTTTCTCCAAAACAGATGTTAGCCCATAAAACATGATTAAGTAAAAACAAAAGGGTCAAAATTATCCCATGCATATTATTAAATCATAGTACAATGAAACTAGAAAGCAGTAACATAAGAAACCACAGAAATAATGCAAACAGGTGGAAATTCAATACACTCTTAAATAGCTATCTTCCTGAGTTAAAGGGAGATGTATATGTTATCAACATGTACCAACTCCCCACAAGAAATGTAATCATGTACTGCAAATATATACTAATAAAAATAAAAATTAAAAAGAAGAAAAAGAAAACAAATTCTATACTATTTTAGCAACTATTTTGTATCAAATCTGTACAAATTTTAACTTAAGAAAAAAAAAACCTATAGAAAACAGCCAGTGCAAGGTCCCGAGTTCAATTCCCGGTACCGGGGGAAAAAAAAAAAAAAAAAAGAAAACAGCCAGGCATGGTGGTGCATGCCTATAATCCCAGCACTCAGAAGGGTAAGGCAGGAGGATCACTGTGAGTTTGAGGCCAGTCTGAAGCACATAGCAAGACCCTGCCTCAAGAAAGAAAAAAAAAAAAAACTATAGAAAACATGAATGTATTTATATTGACTAGAAAATAATTTGGTGTGATATGACTATTTAGGGGCATTTACTTCCACTAGATTTATAAAATATACATATTGTATGCATATAAAAAAATATATATATATATATATTCCCCTACACCCTCCCAGTACAAACCCATGGGTGCTATACCATTAAGCTACATCCCTACCCAAGTTGCCCTGGTGGGACTCAAATTTGATGCCTTCCTGTCTCAACCTCCTTCAGTGCAGGGATTATAGACATGTGTCACTGTAACCTGCTGAATATATTATTTTTAAAATATGAACTTACAGGGGCTGGGGATTTAGCTCAGCGGCAAAGCGCCTGCTTGGCAAGCGCAAGGTCGTGAGTTTGGTTCCCGGTACCGGAGAAAAACCAAAAAAAAAAAATATGAACTTACAAATTTTAAGATATGTAACCTTCAAATTTTAAACATCTGGATCACTGGTAGGACTTTCCCTCTTTGCATACTTTGATGTTAACTATCAGTGGTCAGAAACATACTGTGTAGAAGAAGGTATAAGAGAAGAGCAAATACAGATACAGCAAGCTAAGGTATCAGAACATGGAGAAGGTGAACAAATACTCTAATCTTGAAAAAATTTTCTAATCTATCATAATAGTTATCTAAGAGCTCAAGGCCAACTGATGTCCCACTCTCTGTACTCTAACTACATTGGCCAAGTGTGTACAACCTGAGTAAGCGTGATCAGAACCATTTCTCTGCTTTTACAGATACTTGGGATCTCAGCGGATGTCTGCTCTGATTGCCTTATTTACATGCAAGAGTCTTCCTAGTGAGTCAACCCCTTTCTTTTACAAGGTTCTGGAAGTCGTATTTGCCCCCACATGAGAACAGCAGTGTGTCTCCCCTCCAAGGCCCATGTATTCCCAGGGCTGCACTTCGTAAGCCATGGAACTCTGTCTGACAGGATCCTGGTGGCCTTAAAACTTCCTGATATAAAGCACAGCATCTAAGGGACATGATGATTCCTTTGCCCTGGCTCAATTGCTCAAGAAAAAGAAATGCTCAGACTCCAAGTAACTTAGCATCCAAAGAGGCAGCCTAATAAAAACCACTGGTAGAAAGATCCAGTTTATCAGTGATCATGTGGATGCCTTTTATCAGAAAGAAAGAAAGTGAAAACACTTATCATAGAACCCTCTAGCACACTTATACCAATAGCCAAAAAATTTGTAAAATTTATCAAATATGATTAAGGCTATCAGATGTAAGATTCAATTACAAAAAAATTCAGTTACAGTTATATATAAGAATTCACCATGACATATTTTTTTTTAAATTCTTCTACTTGAGGAATAAAATACCTACAATGATATATGATTATTTCTTCTCTTGTTTCTTATTCTTATTCTCCTTATTGGTTTTGAAATTTTTTTTTTTTTTTAGTTTTTCTCTGGTACCGGGAACCGAACTCACGACCTTGCGCTTGCCAGGCAGGCGCTTTGCCGCTGAGCTAAATCCCCAGCCCTCTTTATTGGTTTTGAGAATAACCCTTAGTTTCATGCAGCCATGTAACATCACAGTATAATCCCTCTATCAGTTTTTTCAAGGCTTTCTGAAGCAGTGTATTATATTAAGCCTATTCTATTTCTTTTTGCTTTCTTCTTTTCTATTTCTACTTCTATTTCTTCCTCCATACCACGTAAACACTCTGACCAAATGATTAATTTGCAATGGTGATGAGGCACTTCACCTTCAATATTAGGTTAGGCAATGTAGCTAAAAACAAAAAATCTGCTTCACTTACTGAATTGGCAATGGCATGAATGACTCTGGAAAATCCTACAGCATCATTTAGTTCCTCCTAATTAAAAACAAAAACAAAAACAACTATTGAGTATATGCATATATTCCTTATTTGAATGAACTAAAAAACTAGCCAAAATAAGAAAAGCACTGAAATGTGTATCAAATTAGCTTTGGTGTCATATGCTTTGTACCCATCATCCTAAATAACCGCCTCTAAAATGATATACGCACTCACTATTCTTCTGTTTTAGGAGGTGGAATAAGCAAGTGAAACATTAAAGACTAGGTACTAAAATAACAGTGTCTACAGCTTACCCACAAGTTCATATAATTTGTTAAATTTTCCTGGTACCGGAAAAAAAACAACCCCCCCAAAAATAATAATAATAATTGGTTAAATTTCCAAGTCCATCAGGATGTCTTTTTGAAAAAATCAACTTTAAAAAGTGGCCACCTGCTGGCTAAACTGTGATGCATTACATTCTGAGGAAACCCACCCAGTAGTTGACTCAGAATTTTTTTCCTCTGGATAAATGCATTTTCTTTTCCAAAATATTGAGAGAGCAGCTCTCTGATATTCATTCCCACTCACTTTCTTCTCTCCTATTTTCTTCCCAACAGTGTTTAAGAGGTTCAGGATCTCTTCCCCCATGTCCTTAACTCTGAGCCTTATGCAACCACTGTCCCTTCCCCATCCTGTTACAGCTAGCTTGCTTAAATGTTCACTGGTTCCAGTTTACCTCCCAGGTATTACCAAGTCCTCTGCTCTTTGGCTTCAACTTCACTGAAACTGCCAAGCTCCTTAAAACAACCCCCAAGACTAACAAGTATTGGAGAGGATGTGCAGAAATTGGAATGTTTTGTGTACCGTTTATAAAGCTGCTATGGAAGACAGTATGGAGGTTTCTCAAAAAAAAGAAAGCAGATACTTGCACACTCATATTCATAGCATCATTATTCTAAATAATTAAGCTAATTAAATATCCATCAACAAATGAAAGAATAGACAATGTGGTATTTCTATATAATGGAATATTACTGTGTTTTAAATAGGAAGGAAATTCAGACACATACTATAACATGGATGAAACCTCAAGGATACTGTGCTGACAGAAATAAGCCAGTCACAAACAGTATGATGCACTTATACGAGGTACTCAACTAGCTAAGTTCAAAGAAAGCAGAATGGTAGTTGCCAGGGTAGGGAGAGAGTGAACTGTTTAACTGATAGAGTAATAGCCTTACCTCATAAACAGTTCTGGAGAGAGATGGTGGTGATGGTTACAAAGTGACATGAATGTACTTAATGCCACACTTTAAAATAGTCTTAAGAGGATAGATTTTGTGTTATGTATATTTTGCCACAATTAAAAAGTCCTAAATTAAAAAAAAAAGTTCTAAAAATGTATTAACAATGACAAACTACTTGCAGGGTTCAACCCAATGGCTATGTCTCAGTCCTTACCCTCACCTCTCAAGATCCTCCAACATAGCTGGCCACCCTTCATCAGACATGCTCTCCCCCAGCTGTGTGTCCTCATGACCTTGTGGCCCACTTGTCCGGCCTCTGCCTATGAACTAAATGCCAGTCCTCAGTACTCTACCTAAAATCTTCCTACCTGCTAAGTCCCCCCTATTATTATGTTATCCTTCTTTTATTCTTTAAAAGAAAAAAAAAAAAAAAATCTTCCTACCATTCCTCATGCATGTTGCAGATGCTATGAGCCAGTCCCCATGTCTGTCAATGACAACCACGCCTGGCTCCTACTTCTCTCCTAGAGTGACTACTTTGCCAATAGACATACTTCCTGGTTGTCCCAAAGATACCTATCAAAGGCAAAATGCAATACCTTTTTCCACTAAGGGGAATAGTCCCACCACAGTGCCCTAATGATCCCACACATACCGAACAGGCCATACTGGCACAATGTCTTAGGAAGAGAAGGGAGGTAGAGGCTGCCTCAGGCCATCTCCCATCTGCTCCTGGGAGGCTGTCCAGAGACATTTCCTTATGGCCTCCAGATTCTGAGTTCCAAGCAGATTTGAGGCTTCATCCTCCAACACCCCGCCCCCCACAGACCTGCAGAATATAAAAGCACTGAACTGCAATCTAGAATTAGCTCCTCAGTAATGGGGTAGGTACCCCATTATCAATCTGGCCCCTTTTGTTTCAGTGTTATTGTCCTTTTTGGTGTGGGGACAAGGAGCACAGGCAGCTGGCTTGTTTGGCTAATGTTCCTTTCTCCATATAGATACTAAGTTATCTAAATCTGAAAGTGGATCATTGTACCTTTACTGGTGGAGTCATCAGGATTGGTCCAGCCTTACATATGTATATGCTTGACACCTACCACCCTCAACCCGCTCCTAATCACCCCAACTCGTGTCTACCACCAGTATCACTCAGCCCAGCCCATCTACCTGAACTGACTACAATCTACCTGGCTGCCCAATTTCTGGCTGGCGCATCTTCCTTCTTCCTTTCTCTTTCACCACACACACCCGCACACAAATTTCACTCATTCTACTTTCCAAATTTCTACAGTCAGTCTATACTACTAATCCTCCCATCCTGGTCATCCAGCCAGATTACTTCACAGCTCAACCAGTCTTACTCACTCCAATCTACTCTTCACACAACAGCCAGGGTGATGTCAAGTTTGACAAGGCACAGATGACCACATCGTCCTGATCAGTCAGATTATACATTCTGAATTATGCGGCACTAGACATGGTAACATTAGTTAACGGGCAGTAAAGCTCGGCACCATACGCCTGAATGATCATCAAGAATAAGCTCCTTTGTTGTTGTTGTGGCAGGACTGGGTATCAAATCCTGAGCCTGGCACTTTAGGCAAGCACCCTACTGCTGAGCTACCCTTCAAGTCCCAAGAATACTTTCTTTGAAACAGCGTCACTGAAGTGGGGACTGGCCAACCAGATGTCAGGTTCACTTTGTTGGCTATTTCTGTTTAAGTTTAACCTTCCCTTTCTTAGTCCACTTTTCCACCAATTCATTTTTTCCATGGTAGAAAACTATTCACTAAATTGAATCCAACATATGATTTAGAAATGCACAGAAAGGAGTTGATTATGCTGCCACTTCTAACCCAAGACACACAGCCTATTACCTGTTCTTTAGCCTGTTTCTGTTGCTCTCTTCTTTTGCGTTCTTCTTCATCCACTTTGCTGATAACTATGTATCGCTCCTTCTAAAAGACAAAGCAGATAAACAGTTTTCTGGAAGCAACTTGACTCAAGAGTCAGAATTCTATTACCATTAAAAATGATCATTTTTAATCAGGCATGGTGGCACATGCCTGCAATCCCAGCACATGCGTGGCTGAGGCAGGAGGATGGCTGGGAGTTCAAGGCTAGCTTGGGTTACATAGTGAGTTCAAGGTCAGCCTGAACTACATGGGCCAAGTCCAACAGAAAATGTTTTAAGATACCACTAATGTCGAGATGACGCACTGCAATCAAAATCCTGTCTCTGTGTTTCCAAGGTATTTCCCCATGGTTTATTAATTTTAACTCACAGATACAAGTTAAAAATATCAACACATTGTGAGAAGAAGGTATGTGATTCTCATTCTCTCTTCTCTCTCTCTCTCTCTCTCTCTCTCTCTCCGCCCCCCAACAACACTGGGGATTAACCCAGGGCCTTCACATCAAGATACATCCCCAGCTCATTTTTTAATTTTTTATTTTGAAACAGGATCTCATTTAGTTGGTTAAGTTGCCATGGTTAAGCTTGTATCCTCCTGCCTCAGCCTCTTATAGAACAGGGATCACAGGTATCCACTGCCATGCCTGGCTATGAATTTTTAAATAAACAGTTTTGAAGTAAAATCTCTATATCATATTTTGTGGACATGAGATAAAAAACCTGAATTTTCTTCTGGTTATATTCCTTCTTTCTCATATATTGCACTTTGTAGCCATTAAACATACCACAAAGCTTTTTGTGTTAAAGTCTGAGGCTTATCTTCTAACATAACTGTTTTTAAGTTATATAAGCTCTAATTTGATACATGACTTCAGAGAAATAACCAAATTAAAAAATTCTATAATTCTGCAAAAGGAACCCAGCCCCTGCCACCATCACCACTCACTGTTCCCTCAGTGCACTGTGGGAATACATGGCAGCAGCTACACTCAAGACGCACACTCTAAAGCTTCACTTCCCTGCCAATACAACAGGAAGCCACATTGTTCCTGGGTAGCATTACAGTTTTCTCCCATAGTAAGAACATGAATTTATATTTGTATACTTTCAAGTTTGTAAAGCATTTATCCACTGGATCACCACAAAAAAGTGGTGAGATAGTACAGATATCATCATCTTGCTCCACCCCAAGGTACACATGAGGAAGATGAGGTTTAGAGAGGTTAAATGACCTTCACAGGCGGTAGCCAAGGTGTAAACTCTGATTTTCAATACATCACTGTATCACTGTATGTTTAATGTTAGCTCTGAACAATTCCTGGGATTACCTTTTCAGTTTCTAAAGTCTCAATGTGAATGCCTTTGGGATACCTAAAAAAAAAGGAAAACATGTTATCAATAGATGAGTCAATGAAAGGTGAAGCCCAAAGTATTTTAAATGCAACTATATAGCTATAAACTAAATAAGTGTTAAAAATATGAAATAGAGCTGGGCATAGTGGCATAAACCTATAGTCATAGCACTCGGGATGCTGAGGCAAAAGGATCTCTGTGAGTTTGAGGCCAGCCTGGGCTACATTAGTGAGCTCAAGGCCAGCCTGAACTACAAAAGCAAGAACATTCCTCAAGGCTAGGCATGGTGGCGCATGCCTGTAACCCCAGCACTCGGAAGCTGAGGCAGGAGGATTGTTGCAAGTTCGAGACCAGCCTGGGCTACAAAGTGAGCTCAAGGCCAGCCTGAACTGCATAATGAGACCCTGTCTCAAAAAGACAAAAAAAAAAAAAAAGGGGGGGGGCCTTCCTCAAAACAAAACAAAAGGCATAAACAAAAAAATACGAAACAGGCTGGGGATATAGTTCAGTGGTACGCCTAGCACCCATAAGGTCCTGTGTTCAATACCTAGTAACTCAAAAAAAAAGAAAACATTACCATTATGGTGAACACTTACAATAAGCCTATTTTATAACATCCAGCTGTGAAATATTTCTCAACTCTTGTTCTTAACTGCAAAGGAATGTATTAATTTCAAATTACTTTTTTTAGGGCTTAAGCATTTCCTAAAATGTACTGTAGCTTTTTAAAAGTTTTATTTATGCTCAGCATGCCTGTAATCCTAGTACTCAGGAGGCTGAGGCATGCTTGCTATAAGTCTAAGGCCAGCCTGAACTACACAGCAAGACCCTGTCTCAAAAAACCAAAAAATATATAAATGTTTACTAGTACATGTTTGCAGTACATAATGATTACATTCACTGTGTAGAGTTGGTACAAGTACATCTTAATTCTTAATTCTCAAGTACATTCCCTTCCCCACACCCTCCACCCCGTTCCTCCATCTCTTGGTCCCGTTCCCATTTGCAAAGAGATGTATTATTGCATCTCTTAATACAGCCAATCTACTGCCACACAGTCAAATCTTGCTCACAAATATAACAATGCCAATTTCTTAACTGAAGCTCTGAAGGTCTGTTTAGGTTGCACAGGGCATATGAAGAAAAAAATCGAAGGTAACTAGCTCAGCTATTTGACTTGGAAGTTTCTACCAGCCAAGGAGAGGGCTCTGAGCACCTACAGAGTAAGGTGTAAGGACAACATGACAAGAAAGTAGCCTGGGCAAACCAGACAATGCACATCACCAGCAGGTTCTAATAGAAGAAGATGCAACCCAAAGTCAAATGCAGATGCTTATCTGTCTGTTGTTCAATGTTTTGGGGTTTTTGTTTTGTTTTATTTTTATGGTACTCAGGACTGAACCCATGGTTTGCATATGCTTGGCAAGCACTCTACTACTGAGCTACATCCCCAATCTTTCATTTCACTTATACTTTGAGATACGAGCTAAGTTGCCCAGGGTAGGCTCAAACTTACCAGAGCTACGTTTACATGCCAAGTAGCACCATGACACCCTGCCCTATGTTCAACTTCTGAGTTGAGAGTCAAATGAAACCCAGGGAAACATCCCAAGAAAAAAAAAAAACATGCACAGAATCTTGGGTATTACTTCAGATTTACAGATGTCATGAAACCAATCATAGTCCAAACCAAAGTTAAGAACCCCTATTTTAGAAAAAGAACACAAACGAAAACACAAAATAATCGAGCTTAATGGATGAGGTCAGAAAGATAATTAACCAATATTTCAATATGCTTTCAAGTACTTATCAAGAAGCAATAACAAAGAAAATAAATTAAGTGGGTATTCAACTTCAGAAACTAGGGAGAGCTTGTTATGGTCAAATTACAAAGAACTGCAAAATTTCAAAAAGAAAATGATAGCTAAGAGATCATATTTAGTCCCTAAGTCCTGGGTCCCTCACAGAGCTTTCACATACAACACAAATACTTACTTCCAGCTCAAAGTTTGATAAATTAATTTTCTTTGAAATCTACAAAAACAAAAGAAAAAGCATTCATTTGGGGCCATTAAAAGTAAACTATATCATATTGTCTCCTTGGTGTAGGAACCTGACTCGGTAAAACTCAAAACACACAATAGATGATAGGAAAGGGAAAGAAATTGCTCAAAGGAAGGAACAACTGGAATGAGGGAAAGAAGAAAAAGAAAGGAAGGCAAACTATAAATATATATATGAATAGCTGTATATATGATAACTGTATTGCTGATGTCTGATGGTGTATTGAAATGAACAGTTAATGGTTACAGTTTTTTATGTTCTGATCAATTGTGCATGCTTGTGTCTGGCGGTCTGCACAACTGATTTGAAGGCATATAAAATGGAATTACAATGGTGAACTCCTACCATCTTGTGTAGTGAATCTCTGTAATATCTCTACTGTTTTATCGAAGAATTATTTTCTTATTCCCTATAATGGTTTGAGCAATCTTTCATTCTTACATCGGGTAATCTGAGCAATGTATTGAGGATAGTGATATGTAATATAACAACCACTGTTGATTCGTATTATTTTGTCTTGCGACTCTGTATCACTTTGAATGTTCTTGCTTTGATTTATTTATGTTTGTGCTACTGGTATGCTGCTACTGTTCTATTTCTTTGCTTGCTTGCTTCTCATTTACTACTCTCTTTAAAATTAAAAAAAAAAGTAAACTAGCTGATCAAACACTGTTTGGGAAAGATTTAACTTTAAAAAGTCTTCTTTAGAACACACATGGAATATGCAAACAAAACTAGGTAGGACTTTTGAGGTGGAAGGATTCCTGATCTCTTGTCTTTATCAAAAATGTTCTTAATATTATTATTTTGCAAAAAAAAATATTATTTTGCTTTTACAAAAGAGGTGGAATTTCTTTATCTAATCAAAATATTACTTCCTGTAGCTATATGCAGATAGTTTAAAGTAAACAGATGCATAACACAACTTGTGAAACTTGTCACAAATGGAAAGATGTTAAAAGTATGAGTTTTTGAAATGCTGATTTTTTTTTAATGGCAGAAAGAAGTTAACAGTTCAGAAGGGGCTGGAGATCTAGCTCAGTGGCACACTGCCTGCCTATTAAGTGCAAGGTCCTGAGTTCAATTCCCAATACAAAAAAAAAAGTTCAGGAGTAGCCTGACAGTGAATCTTTCTTTTCTGAAGGCTTCATGTGTTAAACAGTCCTGCAGACCAAGGTAATTATGTTACTCTTAGGGACAACTTAAAGTCAAAACTGCATAACAATTTAAAAAAAACAAAATTCCCTCTCTAGGGACAGGACAAAACATTCATTCAGTGTCTCAATATACAATTGTCCTTACTGTGTTAATACTAAAGTTAGTGCATAAATCTTGGGAACATATGTATACTAGGAAGACTATTTATAAAGATGTTTTAAAAGACCAAATGCATGAAATCCCAGAAACCATCTATGTTTAAAAAAAAAAAAAAAAAAAAACACGTGAAAATGTGCAGGACAACTAACCCAGTACACGGCTCTAAATCCAAGGTCTTGTTTTCTTCACTTTGTAATAAATCTTCTATTTTCTCTCTAAAGAATTAGAATAAGATCACAACCATGAGTACTTGAAGGAATGAAATTACCAACTAACAAAATAATCATACTCAAAGCAGTCTGAATATAAGAACATACGTGTGTGTGTGTGTGTGTGTGTGTGTGTGTGTATGTGTGTGAGATACATATTTTGTGTCTGTCTGTTTTTTAGTGCTGGGTATTGAACCCACAGCTTTCTCACTGAGTACTATGTCTAGCTCTTTTTTGTTATTCATTGTGAGAAAGAGTTTCACTAAGCTGCTAACCTGCCCAGACTGGGTTCAAACTTGGAATCTTCTTCCTGTCTCAGCCTCCCGCAGTGCTGGCATTACAGGCAGGCACCACCATGCCCAGCAAGGACATATATTTCTTATGTATGTAGTTCTTACTTCTGTACATGTAGAACAGTACAACTCTACCCAAGTGTGTTAGAACTTTTTGGTTCAAAAAATAAAAGATTTTGGTTATAGGATTTAGATGGGATTATTGTTGCCATTAATGAATTAGTGACAACTTCTCAAAGATACATCTATTCCAGTGATTTAACTTTTACTTTTCTAGTAAAACAATTATACTGGTTACTAAACTAAGCAAGACTAGTACTGCTCCAGTGGTACATTTGCTTATCACTGTAAGACCAAAAACCTTACATACTGCAACCTGGGGAGGGTCTGATCCACTGGACACATCTGTGAAGTCTACCTACAGAAGTCTCCTGCCTAGTGACACGGAGCAAATCCAGTATGGTACACATGACTACAATTTGCTGTGGCTGCACAGATTCAGATATGCTACACTTAGATCCTGCTATTCACACCTCATCTACCGGTGTACTCTGTGTGCGGCACAGGCATGAGATACAGACATCAATCTGGCCCCAATGCACATTTCGTTTCACTTTAGAAACTTACACTACTTGGTCAATAAACTTCTTCTGATCCTCAGGAACTGTCACAGGACATTTTGAAGTGTTAGGAGACACATACGCCAGAACTCCTGCACCATTGGCCTGAGAACGTTTTTCATCATACTGCTCTCTCAACTGTCTTTCTTCTTCCTGATTTAAATACGGAATTCCTACATGTAATTTTAAAAAGAATGCATTAGCAGAAGTTAGTTTCACATAAAAAAAATTTTTAAACAAACTGAACAACGTAATACTCAGAAAAAATATACTCATCCACATTTCAGAAAATCAATAGAGAAAGCAAGTGGTTTTGTAATGTGTCTGTTCATTCTTTTTCTTTCAGCTAATACATACTTGGCACTTATGCTGCGCCAAGCATTGTATGAGGCACTGGCAGCTGTGGTGAACAGCAGACACATCCTGCTCTGCAGTCAGGAGAACTACTTCTGACTAGATGATCAGAAAAAGCTACTGTCAGTGAAATCCTGAAAAACGAGAGCCAGGGCAGTACACAAGCATAAATGCACAGAAAGTGGAAATGGCTTAGACCATTACAAAAGCAGCAAAAAAGCTGCTGTGACCAGAACACAGTGAATAAAAGGGAAATGGTATGACACCAGGTTGGAGAGTGAATGGGGCAAGAGTATTAGATCCCTACGGGTTCTGGTAGGAAATTTGTTTTTTCTAAGAGCACTGGGACTCCATGAGAAGATTTTAAGGAAGATAAGAACATTATCTGATTCATGTTTTAAAACTCATGCTGACTGCTATGGGAGTAGACATAGGGAGACCAGTTAGGAACAACTGTCCAGGCAAGAGATGACAGCTCTGATCAGAGATCAGCGAACTTTTTCCTAAAGGGACAGACAGAAACTTTTACTGTTGCTTATGAGGATCTCCGTCCCAGTGCTCAATCCTGCACAGAAGCAGCCATGCACAATATGTGCAGGCATGGTTGTGATCCAGTAAGACTTTTTGACAAGACAGAAAGAAAGGGGCAAGCTGTTGTTTGTGATCCTGGCTTAGAACATGGAGATGACAGAGTAGAAGAAGAAAGTGATTTCCAAATAGGAGAGACACAACTTCCTGATATACTGGCGGCAAGGCATAAAGAGAAAGACCAAATCGAGAATGACAATTATCTGGTTTAAGAAATTGAGAAGGAGGAAGACAACAGGGGGGAAGATAGGCATTGGTGAACCCCATGGGGTGGAAATGAAGAAGTTACCATCTGACATATTAAATTATCCAAGGGTATATGTGAATTACAGCCCAAGAGACGTGTTGTGATATAAATTTACTTATCACAATATGTGTGTTGTTAAAAACCATGGGACATTAACGAACTTTCTGAATGGCAGAATGAGAAAAACACCATTTGACAACAATACTGTGTTTAAAGCAAGAATCACCAATGGATGCTAAAAGTAAATGGCAAAAAAAGTGATCCAAGTTCACAACACCATAACAATGTGACCAACTGACATCATGTCATCTAACACAATGCACTGAGGATGCACACTTACTCCTGTGCTGTTCCTGCTGAAAATTAATAAATGCATTTGAACAGATCTGAAGAAACACCAGGCAAGTCCACACAAAGGAGCATTCTACAAAATGACCTTTACTATTCAAAATTTTGAAGGTATTTTATGAAATAGGAAGAAAACGTTCAAATGGGAAGGGGAACTAGGTAGGAAGGGGAAGAAGAAGGGAAATGAAAAAAAATGAGAAAAGAAGGAAAAATGGAAACAAAGCTTTTTTAAATAAAGAGGGGATATAGCTGGGTGTGGTGGCGCACATTTGTAATCCCAGCACTCGGGAGGCTGAGGCAGGAAGATTGTTGCAAGTTGGACACCAGCCTGAGCTACAAAGTGAGCTCAAGGCCAACCTGAGCTGCATAGCAAGACCCTCTCTCAAAAAGACAAAAATAAAAACAAATAAGGAGGGGAAGAGGGGTTGAAGGGAGGGTAGCGGAATAGGAAAAAAGAATCAAGTTTTATCATGTACAGATGCAAGCTCCCTATGATGAATATGATCATTATATATACCTAAAAATGTATCAATAAACTTAATTAATAAAAAAAAAATTTTTTTTAAAAAGACAGACTGAGAAGTGGTTCTGGAATTAAAATAGTAGAGAGGGTCAGGGTATAACTTAGTGGTAGAATGACTACCTAGCATGAGCCCCAGTACCATAAGTATGTACATAAATAATTTAATAATAAAAATAATAAAGCCATGAAAGTATGAGACCAACTAGGGAACATAAAAATTAGAAGCTGGTGAGATAAGTAAGAGCCAATCAGGAGGAGCCAAGAGTGAGTCAGAAAAAAAAAAAAGAATGAAGAATGCTCACCAGGCGTGGTGGCACAAGCCTGTGATCCCAACGTTCTGGGAGGCTGACGCAGAAGGTTCACAAGTTCCAGAACTTTGCAAGACTACCTCAAAATTTTAAAAAGTAAAGAAGGGCTGAGAGGTAGCTCAGTGCAAAGGCTCTGGGCTCCATCTCTAGTACTAAGACAAACAAATGAACAGCACTAAAGTCAGGAGGAGAAAAAAAAAAGTCAGGAGGAGAGCGCTGGATACAAGAGGCAAGAGGAAGTGATCAACAGGGTCGAATTCTGCTGAAAGGAAAAGTGAGATGGGGACAAAGAGGGACCCACTGCATTTGAAATCACAGCAGGCCCTGGAGCAGGCGGCCAGCAGAGCGTGCATGGAGAACTGCAGAAAGCCACCCAGCTGGCATGGAGTGAAGAAACTGAAGAAAGGCCTGGAGATGTAGCCACACAGTACAGAGCTTGCAAAGAGTGGATGAGGTTCTGGGTTCTATCCCCAGCACAGAGAGGAGGGGAAGAAGGAAAACAGAGAAAGTAGAAATAATAAAAACACCTCACCAGTCTAAAATGCTTTGCTCTGAGTGGAAACATTATGGAATAGAAAGGAAGTGAGATGTACAATAAGTGAAGGGTCTGGTTGTTATTTAGTTGGCTTAAGATGGCAATTACAATGCAATAGTTATAAAAATGCTTTTAAACATGATACAGTAGAAGCCAGGCATGATGGCACAGGACTGTAATCCCAGCACTTGGGAGGCTGAGGCAGAAGAACTGCTGTGAGTTACAGGCCAACCCAGACTACACAGCAAGATCCTGTCTCAAACAAACAAACAAACAAACAAAAAAACAAAATATGATGTAGTAATACGATGTATCATCTTCTTAACACATTAAATAATAGGAACTGGTGGCAGATGAAATAGCTGTGATAATTTTGAAGCACTGATAAATGTGGACGAATATTTAAAACATCTGCAGCAACTGAATGTCATGTGAAGACAGCTAGGGTTTCCAGTGGTGACCAAGCCCCAGATCTGCTAGCACTGTTGTGACTGTTGCCTTCATTCATAATGGAAGAAACTGCAAAACTTCAGCTCAAGGTTGGAGAAAATATAGACACAAATGTTTTCCCCTCCAAAACCACAGACTGGAATTCTATCTTAGGGGTGGGAGAAGGAAGGGCATCCGAAAACTACATTAAAAAATCTCTGTACTTATATTTATAAAGGGTGATGGTAACGACACATAGAAAAAGAAAATAGTAATTTAGGAGTGAGAGGGGCAAACTGGAGGTGACAGTGGCTGACAAGGAGACAGACCAGCTTGGACTGGTGCAGTGATTCTTCCTCCACGGTAAGAAGGGCAGGTAAAAATTGCTGGGTTCAGACTCAGGATGGACTAGTGGATTTGGTGGTGAGAAAGAAAGCAGTGCTTCACCGAGGGCTCCAATTTTTATCAGAAAGACATGGACATGAGCTGCGGTGGGAAGTCAAGGAAAGAGATGACAGAAAAACAGAGGTCTTAAAGAGAATTAGAAAGGGAATTTATACGTCAGGAAAGCAGGATTTTTAAACAAAGCTGAGTGCTTATTTGCAGCTTGTGCCCATGGATGCAGAATGATGAACTGACCTAGGCATGTCCTACTTTCAGCAATATTCAGATGTTCAGAAACAGAAAAGGTGGTTGGTCAGGTGCAAACAAGCCAGGACTTTCAAGTACAGTGGAAAGGGAGAGAAGCAAGGGAATGATGTGTGTGGATAAGGAAAGTCAAGGTAGAAGAGGGCACGGTGTAGTGAGAAAACAGGAGGTGCGAAGACTGAAGCAGGAGTCAGTAGAGGTGGATGAGAAGTGGTGCTCTGGGACGCAGGGACCCCAGAGGTGGTAAACAAGAGCTGCTGCTGACCCCTTCCCGCCATGCTGCAAGGATGGAAGGACCAAAGGTAAAGAGAAACAAAGACTGCTGACCACCACTCAAGAAACAGGAGAGGGTGTTTGCTGGTCATCCTTGTGGATGCTGAGGTCACCCAGAGCCAGGAGTGAAGAGAAGGATAATGAACCAGAGCCACTGTTACTGTATGTGGTGCCTAGAAGTCAGCAGGAGAGAGTGACAGAGCTGGTGACACAGCCCAGGGAAGAATGGTGGCTCCTGAAGAAGGGAAAATCCAGGTGCCCTGACCCTGGCACACAGAAACAGTAACACTGTACCTTCCATGGCCTGGCCAGAGACAGAAAGGATAATGGCAAAACCACCTGCCTTACAGAGGGATGCAGGGGGGACAGCAGAAGAGTTAGCAGGCTCCCTTCCGGACAAGGAAGTCAGAAGACTGTTGGAAGATGAAATTTACCAGCCGGAATGGCAAGACATGATGAACAGGAAACAAGGATCTAGGTCAGATTGAGAGAACGTCAAGAGCACGTGGGGATAGGTCTTGATGATCATTGGTGCCCTCTTGATTTTTGATTCTGTTGCAACCAAAATATTCCAAGGTCTTAACTACAAAACAGAGAACAAGGCATACTCCAACGAGGCTGTTTCTCTTTTTTTATAAAAATAAAACCAGCAGGCTGGAAACTATACAATCATCTGAATACTGATTACAGTAATTCCTTCCAAAGATGTTTGGGCTGGGGGTGTGGTTCAGTGGTGCAGCATTTGCCTAGCAGATGCAAGAACCTGGGTTCCATCCCAGCACAAAAGAAAAGAAAGAAAAACTACTTGAAAACAAAGTTGGGTTTGGTGGTACAAACCTATAATCTCATAATCTCAGTTACAAAGAGGGCTGAAGCAAGAGGATCGTGTGTGGCCAGCCTGGGAACCTAGTGAACCTGCCTCAAAAAATAGAAAGGACTGAGGATTAGCTCAGTGGAAGAGGGCTCCTGAGTTTGATGCCCATTACTACAAAAAGAAGAAGAGAGAGAAGCTGGGTATGGTGTTGTACACCTGTAATCTCAGCACTCAGGAAGGTGAGGCAGGAGAATCACTGTGAGTTCCAGCCAGGGCTACAAAGTCGGTTCAAAACCAGCCTGAACTGCACAGTGAGATCCTGTCTCAAAAATACAAAAGAAAAAGGAGAGAGATGTTTGCACTATTTCCATATAGTTCTCTAAAAACATGAACTTCTGATTTACAATGTCTTTCATTATCAAGTATAAACAAATTTTTTAAAAAATTACTTTAGAACACCTCAATTATGTTGCCTGGCTGGCTCACTCACTATGTGAAGCAGTTTTGGTACCCCCCAAATTTTTTTTTGGAATTTCAATTAGCAAAATCATCAATAAAAACTAAGCTGCAGCATGATGCAAATAAAAATCAATAGGGTACAGGTTCTAAATACCAGGTAAAGAGGATTCCTTTGAAGTCTGTGTAGTAGTTTTGAGAAAAACCTCGTACTTTTGTTGCAATAAATCTCTTTCCTTACTTTGCTCATTAATTCCACATTTTCCATGGGAAAAAACACAATTTTTGAAAATAATTCAGCCCAAGACACTAGCAGACTGGCCATCACAATTGTTCATACTATGTAAAATTTCTTTCTACTGGGAGAAATTCAGGTGCCTCCAAATATAAAATAAACATCAACTGAAAGGAGAGTTTTCACTGGACAAGGTGGTGCATATAATCCTAACTACTTGGGAAACTGAGGCAGCAGAACTGATGGAGAACATAGCTCAAGACCAGCCTTGGCAAATACAGCTTGTTTCAAAAAAACAAATAAATAAAGAAGGGGAAAAGGGCTGAGTGTAAGAGAAGGTAATGGAATGAATACAATCAAAGTATATTATACACACTGCAATACCCCCAGAAGTGTGCAATTGGGGGCTTGGGTGGGCAATGGGGGTGAAAATAGGCAGGAGGTAATTAAAGTATGTTATGTACATGGACAAATCTGGCACAATGAAAACTATCAATCTGTATAACCAATATGCACTAATAAAAAAAAAATAGGGGATAAAAAGGAGGGACACCCATGATAGTATTACCAGAATCGATCTATTTGTCACATTGGAAGAAAACAGGGAAGCATTCCCCTCAGGTGGTCAGTTAGGTATCTAAGTCACACTAGTAGTAGAATTAACTATGGTCAATAAAATCAGGAGTTTGGGAGGTCTCATTAGCACTCAATGAAGTAGTATCCACTCTCCTGCTCAGTTCATGGCTGCCCTGGTTAAAAGTCATAATAAAAGAGTTTCAAAAAATTCTAACAGTGTGCTGGAACTGTAAAATTCTGTCTCACACAGCAGGCACAAAATAGTAATTCCCAAGCAAATCCAGATTTACTTCTGAAGGGTTATAAACTCTAAATATAAGGGACACATAATCTTACCATTGCGAAAAACTTTATTGAAATCAAATCCCTGGCTCGCTAAAAAGTCGATACTGGAGCTCTGAAACAAGAGGACATACATGTCAGTGCTGTTAGCAGCAGGCATACGAACGCAGTCAGAGAAGTAACTCAGTCAAGTAAATCCAAGACAGCCAGGCAAGGAAGCAAGTTCAGAAGACAAGAGATTTCTACCCATGGTGGCCTGTTTACTAGCTGGACTTATAAACCAACACCTTTTGTTTTACAATATTTTTAAAAATCTACTGAGTGAACAGATATTCTCCCATTTGGCAGAAAGGTCCTGACCTCCTGATTGCTATGCTGAATAAGACACTATGGTACAAGTATCATGCAGCTTAGATCTTATAAGAATGATTATCCAATAGCCGGCCGTGGTGGTGCAGGCCTGTAATACCAGGACTTGGGAGGCTGAGCCAGGAGGATTGTTGGGAGTTTGAGACCAGCCTGGGCTACAAAGTGAGCTCAAGGCCAACCTGAACTGCATAGCAAGACCCTGTCTAAAAAAATTAAAAAAAAAAAAGAATGACTACCTAACATGAAATTAGATATTAAAAACCCAAATCCTAACTGGAAGCTGGTTTTTTATTTGTTTTGTGAGTATTAGGGATTGAACTCAGGTCTTTCTCACTGAGCTATATCCCAAGCATCTGCACTTCCTTTTTTCATTTTTTATTTTGGGACAGGGTCTCACTAAATTATTAAAATGCCAAGGCTGAGCGCAAACTTGTGACCCTCCTGCCTCAGCCTCCTAGAGTGCTGGGATTGAAAGTGTGTGCTACCACAATCGGCTCTGACTGTTCTTAATGTTCAAGATCAAGACAAAAAGGTTCCCAATAACAAGCCTTACTAAGCAAACATTTTAAACCTAGGATAAGCTGAAACATATATTTAAATAAAAATATTAAGTAAATAATACTACACATGGTATGCAAGTACACCACAACACGAAGTTCTTACTCCAACTGATACAAGAGACTACTGTAGCAACGCAGATTTATTCTTCACTAAAATTGGGACATCAGCAGTCCATGTTCCTGAAACATTTTAATCTGGTCCCTCCTAGAACTACCTTTACTGACCTGGTCTTAAACATCAAATCCTTGGTCTAGATGGAAGGACGCTGTAATAAACAGTCCCAAAGAACTCAGAACATATTAACATCAGAGACATGACAAGGTTTCCCATATGAACAGATTATGGTAATTCCAGGGTAAATCTTCTAGGGAAAGCTGCACTTCTCCTGAGTCCTCGGTTGTCTGGACGTTTGGGACCACTGAGGACATGCTTCCCTCTAAGCTGTTAGGAGACTCAGAGATGAACAGCTGAACCTCTCTTTGGCACAAATTCTGTGTTCTGATCATACCATAGTAGCCATATTTTTCTTTTGGTTCAATTTTTCATTTACTTGTTTCTTAAAATTCTTATTCCTTTTGTCTTTTTTTTGAGACAGGGTCTTGCTATGCAGTTCAGGCTGGCCCTGAGCTCACTTTGTAGCCCAGGCTGGTCTCAAACTTGTAACAATCCTCCTGCCTCAGCCTCCTGAGTACTGGGATTACAGGCACGCGCCATGACGCCCAGCCCTTATACTTATTTCTTGCATGAAAAGGTAAACACATGAATATTAGCCAACACAAATCCTCTTAAAACATGGGCTTGGTAGTAGAGTGCCTGTCTAGCATGTTGAGAGGCTCTGGGTTCAATCCCTAGGACTGCAAAAATTAATTAACTAAAATAAAATATGGTGAAGTAGAAAAAAAACTTCTTACACACACACACACACACACACACACACACACTCACACGAGTACACGTAAATCATTTGCCATCCTGTCCAGGTTTTCTAAGTTACAACAACCTTCTCTCCATCCCCACTTCTTTTTTTATTCTGTCTTGAATTAAGACCCAAGATCTTTCCACTTGGCTTCCTAAATCCTTTTTGTCTGCCATCCTGAGTATTATAATTAGACTCACCTATACACCCCATCTGAGAAAGAAGCAATGAAAGATAAATTACAGAAAGGCATTTTTGTCTTTTCCTGTATTAAATTCCAAAACATCTTTATCCCATTATTAATTCCCTTCTTGAAGGTGTTTATTTTTCAACTGAAATAACAGTCTTTGGATTGCACAGCAATATAAATGTACTTAATACCACTGAAATATACACTTGAAAATGACTCAATGATACACACATTTTACAATTAAAAGAAAGCCACTGAGCCAACAAAATCTATTTGTGACTTACTATTCCCTTAAGTGTCTTACATGTACCTTTCTCAAGATTCAAAAGATGTGCATAGCTATTCTGGAGGATTATTTGAGGCATCTATCAAAAGTTCAAATGCAAGTATCCTATGACTCCACGATTCCTCTTTCATTCTAGAGATGTCCTACATATACAAAAAGATAAACTGCACATAGACATTGATTACAGCACTATTTTTCTTTTTTTATCTTTTTGAGACAGGGTCTCGCTATGCAGTTCAGGTTGGTCTTGAGCTCACTTTGTAGCCCAGGCTGGTTTCAAACGTGCAACGATCCTCCTGCCTCAGCCTCCTCCTGCCTCAGCCTCCCAAGTGCTGGGATTACAGGCCCGTCCCACCACACCCAGCTACAGTACTATTTATAACCCACGGGGAGTCTGCTTATAAAACTTAAAAACTGCTTAAATATATACCTATCCATACTATGAAATATGAAGACATTCTATTAAATGGAAATGCAAATTATGTAAAATATGAATAGTAGATATAATAAAAATTTTAAAATTAAGTATGTGTGTGTTGACATATGGGTATATGTGCACACATATATATAAAAAGTAGAAAACAGGAATGTGCCAGATGTGGTGGTACATGCCTGTAATCCTAGCACTTGGGAGGCTGTGGCAGGATTATAGTGGGTTCAAGGCCAGGCTGAGTTACATAGTCCAAGGCCAGCCTGAACTATATAGTGAGACTCTGTCTCAAAAAACAAAACCAGAAACAAAGAAAAAAGAGAAGGCGGGCATAGTGGCACACACTTGTAATCCCAGCACTAGGGAGACTGAGGCAGGAGAATTACTGTGAGCTCGAGGCCAGCCTCATCTACAAGTAAGCTCAAGGGCAGCCTGAATTGAATAGTGAGACCCTGTCTCCAAAAAAAAAAGAAAAAAGACAGAAACAAGAAAGGACATGGGGAAAAAGGCAGAAGGAAAGAAAGGTACTCATTACTCCATATACAACATTAGTATTTTAATTTTTTACAACTACCTATGCATCATTTTCTACGACTGCAGCTACAGGTGTTCAGCAAGGAAAAGGAGGAAGAATAGAAAAAGATAGAAATCACGTAAGTGCCACACAATTCTTCCTACTTCTTTTGTCTGTAACTCACTATTATTTGTCTTTACCCCACAGGCACACTCTCCAAGGTGTCTGCAGTTCTGTCTTTCCATTCTCCTGATCTTGGTGTGTGAGTATCTCACCAGGTGTACAGATACTTACTTTGCAAAGAACACAGTAAACTGCTTTGCTCTCAAATCCTACATGCTTTATGGGTGAAAAGAGCTCCTGGAGGGTGATTCCGAAATACTTTCATCTACTTGCTGACTCTAGAACCTAAGTCCCTTGCAAGACCATAAGATGTAACTCCGCTACATCACACAATTTTATTGTTTGTTCGTTTGTTCATTTATTTGTCTGTCTTTTTGAGGCAGGGTCTCACTACACAGTTCAGGCTGGCCTTCAGCTCACTTTGTAGAGTTGTAAGGATCTTCCTGCTTCAGTCTCCCGAGTGCTGGGATTACAGGTGTGTACCAGCACCCCAGCTAACAGTCATACAGTTTTAAACAAAACCATATTCAGCCAAGCCACTTTGAAGATACCTAAGTATAGTACAACAACTATTGATAATCTCCTACTTCTTTTGTCTGTAACTCACTATTATTTGTCTATTTGTTTTCCTGAGAAACTATCTTGTAGATAACAATATGTAAAACAATAACCATTGATAATTTCCTACCACTTTGTCTGTAATTTGGTAAGCCCGCCCATTATTATGTTGTCCTTCTTTTACTCTCTAAAATAAAAAATAAAAATAAAAATAAAAAAAACCCATATTCAGCCAGGCGTGGTGGCACACGCCTGTAATCCCAGCACTCAGGAGGCTGAGGCAGGAGGACCATTGCAAGTTTGAGGCCAGCCTGGGTTACAAAGTGAGTTCAAGGCCAGCCTGAACTGCATAGTGAAACCCTGTTTCAAAAAGACCAAAAAAACAAACAAACAAACAAACAAACAAAAAACCATATTCAATGAGGGACAAAAGGAAATCCAAAGATAACATACTTGACCCACACGATTCACAAGTTTAAACACTGAATCCAACCTTTTCTCTGCTGTTCCTTTGCTTTTTCAGACTAGAGAATCCCAGTGCCACTATTCCTTTGTCCATTTTAGACACTGGTCTCTGGGCTACCTACAAGAATATTATCTTTCTTTCTAAGAGTGGCTGGCAACTAGAACTGTACTAAGTATTCCAGATGTTACCAAGTCATGCACGACTCACACAGTGGGTGGAGCTCTTCTAATCTGTTTCCAATACTATACTTCCCAATATTTCCCAAAATAACTGTACTTGTATTGTCTTTTAGAACAGATCAGCATCTCTAGTGTCTTATTGTCACTCTGCTTTTGTTTAATTAGCCCCCGGCCAAAGCCATAGAATGCACCTTAAGTAATTCTCCATTCCTTGCACAGCTGCAAAACCAAACCTACATGAATTTCCAAACAGAGCCTATTTTGTCTCAGTGAAAATCTATAAATGCTGTTTAAATACCCTATATCAAGGTAATTATAAATAGCTGTCAACAGGCTGCAGGGAAAAGGAAATACTAACTATGGTTTACTTGATAATTTAAGAAAATTAACTACAGGATCAAAAATTACCCTGACCTTTTCTCTTTGGCCCTCAGGCATACAATTAACTCTGGAACTCACTGGTTTATGCCTTGCCTTATTTCAGAAAGAATGTATTGAGAAGCCCACCCTCTGGACCTTCACAACTGCAGTCCCATTTCTATGCCAGGGAAGGGCAAGATGGCAAGACTCAAATGAACTGCTTCTACTGGGAGAGAAGCAAGGAGGCAAGATGTCAGGGAGGGAAGATTAGCACTCTCTTCAATGACATATGCATATGCTCATAGCACTCAGTCACATCCTCCTTATCCACGAGAACAGATACTCAAGAAGGCAGAATGGGGAAACTCCCAGGTTAGCTACACCAAAGCCCCTGGGAACCTCCAGGAGGAACTCCCCTGTATCCTTACCCTGACCCACAAAGTCCTCTCATCCTCCAAGGAAAACCAATGCAATTTCCATTTACAGCCTCCTCGTCCTAACTGGAGAGCTGAGATAACAACCGAGGGATTAAGTACTTTAGCCCCTTCTGGGCTCTCTTTTTTCACAGCCTACAAACATATTCTGTTCTTCAGAAACTAAAGCTCCACCCTAAGAGGGGTGCAAAGAAACAGAGAAGCCTGCAAATCTTGATGTGTAATTTCAATTTAGAGACAGCAGAAACCCCAAATGCAGTCCCATTATAAGCCACGTTCTCAAACTCAGTTTTTTTTTTTTTTTTTTTTTTTTTTTTTCAAACAGAGTTTCGCTATGTAAGTCAGGCTGGCCTTGAACTTACTATGCAGTCCAGGCTGGCCTCAAACTTGTGGCAATCCTCCTGCATCAGCCTCCCAAATGGTGGGACTATAGGAGTGAACAACCATGCCCAGCAAATTCAGCTTTATTAATAATAAGGTTTATATTCTGGTTTCCATCTGCCTGTCTCTGTATCTTACTGCTTAACTCATTCTAAAGGAGAAGATAATGCTGTCGTTAACTTACACATCTAAAACTGGACATCAGAAATGTGAAATAATTTGCCGAGGCCCAAAATTAGTAGCAGAACGAAATTTTAAAGAGAGTTTTGATTCCACATTTCCACACTGCCTCACCGACAATTCATAAAAGAAAAAACCCAATTATGCTACTAACCTGACAGACAAACTTGACATCGGGTGAGGATCGATTGAAGGGTTTCGGGAAAACATAGAAGTTAAATGACTTCATGATATACCTGAGAAGACAACAGAAAGGAGACTTAGGGAGTTACACTGTACCACAGTGAGAATTCCCACCTCTTATTTTAAAAAACCTACTTTGAATCTGTGTAGTCATACTTAAAAGTGCAAAGGCCAAACTGAAACAGCAAAAAGTCCATGGAATGCTGGAAAAGGGAAATAAAACATCTGTCACAACACTGCTGCAAATTCAACCTGAGCAATAGTGTTTCCAACTAGGTGGCCTTTCTGTATCACTCAACTTGACTTTGGCAGAATACTTCCAATTAAAACACATCACACAGCTTATGAATCAGAGGCATTATTAATTTACACTTATTTCTTAATTTTCCCCAATTAAGCATTTTTCCTCATCATTGAGCATCACTATAAACTTTCAAGTTATTAAAATAAAAATTATTAAATTAACATTATTGTCCTATATATCAAATTAACACTGAAAATAATAATCATTCCCTGAAATGTTTTTCCAGCAAACAATTATTTTTGCTGTTATTTTAAACATAATTAAAAGATCATTTTGTGTCCGGTGTTGAGAACTGCTGTATTTCTTTAATGTGCAAATTTAACTATTACTCTGTAATTCAACAAAAGGAGGATCCATGTGGGGAAAAAAAAGGCTTTCAAGCACATTCACGTACCTTCTTAAGCTTCTGATACCTCTCTTCGGGAGTGTCAAAACCATTTGTCAGGGCACTGACTGATGGTCCATCACTGATTCCTAGATTTGAAGATATAAGTTTTTAACTTAATGCTAGTGTAATGTCAAGCACTGAACACCTCTAGAATTTCAAATTCTTATGAAGTAAGACTAAATAGAAGTGCCTCCTGCCTCACTTCTTCAAACTTAGCATTAATTTGGGGCTAGGGGTGTATTCCGTGGTAGAGTGCCTGCCTACTATCCACAAAGCCTAGGCAGGGCCTTAGACTGGATATTCCCTAGGAGAATGGTGGAGAACCTACAGGGCCGTGCAGAGGCTTTTTGTAATCACTGAAAGCTCTAAAAGGTTCACTGTCACTGCCCTCAGAGCTGGAGGGAGAAAGGATTACACAAACACACCTGCTGAGGTAGGTAAAATCTCATACTGTATAAAGGAATATACTCATTTACAGGTAAAATCTTGACCCTGGCCAGTCACAAAAGGACATATATTGTATGATTCCACTTATGTGATCTGACTATGGTAAAGCCAAATACAGACAAATTCATGGAGACAAATAGTGCACTGGAGAAAGTGAAAACGTACAGTACCAGTTTAGGAATATAAATTGTATGTTATGTAAATTTCATACACACATACACACACACACACACACACACACACACACACAAAATTATGGCCCTAATCCTCAAGCTTTCTACCTGGTACATGTAAATTGTTTTAAGCACCACCAAAACAACAATCTGTCCTCCCCGCCTCAGTCTAATCAATCACAAAACCACTGCATCTCTTCCGTGCTTTTTGAAAACATTTAAGAGGAAATGCCGAGACTTCTGCAACTTAAGGCTACAAAGAGCGAGGAGCAGCCACGGGGACAGAAGTTAGGGAACCGGGAGATAGGAAGGAGGAAGCAGCTGAAGGAGACTGAGCTATGCGTTGCAAGGTGCTAGCCCGAGCTTGCAAGGGAGGGATACCTGAAAACTCCCCATCGATGGCGAAGAAGTCTGCCTCCTCTACGGCCTGGTACACTTTATGAAGGTTACTCTTAAAATCTGCGGAGAAACCGAGAAGAAGCTCAGAGACTGACACCTGGCTTCCTGCCCCGGGACGCGCAAGGGGAGAGGGAATGAGCGCCGAAGACCGCCTAAGGTTGCTGGCTAATGGAGACACCTCCCAGAGGTGTGCAAGGTCTTAACAGGGTCAAGTCCCAGGGGTGCTCGGGCCAGGTCAGGTGGCTAGGCCGGAGGGGAACAAGGCCCCGTGGGTCCCCGGGCTGGAAGACAGCAAAGGCCCTGGAAGTGCACGTTCCGCAACGGCGCAAGGCCCCGAGAGCGCACGGGCTGAAGGCGTGCAAAGCGCACAGGAGTGGACCCGGCCCCGGGCCGCCAAACTCGCAGCCGCGGTGCGGGCCTAGCAGGCTGGACGAGTGTGGTCGTGGGGATGCGGGGAGGGGCGCCGCGGGCACGCACTATTCCTAATTATCTCCATTCCTCAGAGTGGCCGGAACCCCGGCCCCGCCTAGGCTCGCCTCAGCTGTTCTACTCGCAGTGTCCCGCAGCTACCGCGTTGGCCTCGGAGGTGGCAGAGGCAAAGGCAAAGGCACAGGCGGGCGGCAACAGAACACACGGCCCGGGCGACTTCCGGAAACAGCGCGCGCCCGCAGCGCCTGCGTCAACGCCTGCGTCACGTCGGAGGCGGGGCCAAGGCTGAGGACCTCTTGCTCCTTCCTGGACCGAAGAAGGGGCCTGGCTGTCAAATCCCCAAGGTGGGGGCTAATATAGGAAGGCATTGGCTTGGAAATATATGCAGTCTTGAGGTCTAGTTGATCAACAACTATTTACTGGGCTCCTTGTACAGTATGTGCCACTCTAATAGAGGTAGAGATACACTGATGAACAGGAAAGCATGGTCCCAGCCGCACTGGAACTTAAACTCGGAGTAGGAAGGAGAAAGACTGGGACCAGATTTACCACTTGGAAACTCTATAAAGAAAAAGTACAGGTGCTGTAATAGAGAATAATTGGGGTTGGAAGGTTACTGGGTGATCAGAGAAAGCAAAGTGATATAATCATAATGCAAAGACCAGCTTAGGAATGAAGGACAAACTCCTGGGCCCTTCACCTGTAATTCACCAAAAGTATGGTTTGTGTTTTCTGTTAAGATAATGAGGGACTTAGAAGTGGTTTTGCTAAAATTGTGACTCTTCACATGGACCTACAAATGCCCAATAGGTAATTCACAATAGAATAAAACTTGACCTTTTTATAAAACCCTGGGTCAAATCCTTCCCAGCAGTGAATACAGGCATGTTAGTCATTTAGGGGTGGGATCTCCAACCCCCAGGCTATGGGATGGTACTGGTCCTTGGCCTGTTAGAAACTGGGCCACAGAGCTGCATCTGTAGTTTACAAGCATGCCCCATCCCTTGAATTACCACCTGAGCTCCACCTCCTCCTGTCAGGTCAGCTAAGGAGTGATGGTTTTAGACACTGAGTGCCTAAACTGCAACCCCAAACCCACTTATTTATCACAAAGTGCCAACACTGCAATTAAATCTGAATACTGAGGTTTTAGTTTAGAAAAAACATACAACAACATCTTTTGTCTTAAAAACACAACAGAGCTTTTGGTGATACAGTTTTAATTGAAAAGTAAAAGTTTGCATTTGATGTGCTTTTGCACAATTAATGTGATCTTTGCAAACCTTGGCTCAGGCGACTTGGTTCTCGTGGTGACAGAGAGGGCTCTACGTGCCCACTATGGCACGTGTGCCATAAGTTCACCACTACTGAGCTAGGGCAGTACATTCTCATAGGAAAAAGAACCTTCCTGTGAACTGCATATGTGAGGGATATAGGTTGCACATGCCTTTGAATCATTGGGTAATTTCATCCAATGGAAAAATTGTCTTCCATGAAACTAGTCCCCTGACGCCAGGTGTGGTGGCGCACGCCTGTAATCTCAGCACTCAGGAGGCTGAGGCAGGAGGATCATTGTGAGTTCAAGGCCAGCCTGGGCTACAAAGTGAGTTTAAGACTAGCCTGAACTGCATACTGAGACTCTATCTCAAAAAGACAAAGGAAAAGAAAAGAAAAGAAACTGGTCTCTTCTGCCAAAATAGTTGGGGACCACTGATTTAGGAAGTGTCTGTCTAAAGTTTTGTAGTGCTAAATTTACCTAGCCCATCTTATTACTCTTCCAACTGAGGGCACTAGGATAAGAGATTTATAGAGACATCCAGCTATACCCAGAATCTCCACTTCCCTAAACCTGTAGTCACTTTAGATTCCAGCAGAACTTCACATGAGTGGAATTGACCCTCAAGTCAGGAGGATTCAACCTGAGCTAAGAAACCAGGATCGGAGAGGAGACCCTAGCCCACTTCAGTTAATCCTTAAAAACTGGCCTCCTGCTTTTGTGGGTGGGCCAGTTTGTCCCTCTTCACTGGAGCAAGCGCCTTCCAGGTACTACCCCAGCTGGTGCCATTTCCTTATCTTACCTTTCCCCCTGCTTATTTGTGTTCAGCTTTAAATTCTATTATCACTTAAGTAAGGCCCCACTATCTACAGAATTCATCCTTGGGAATACTATGGTGTCACAGAGGAGAGAGGTGGAAAAGAGTTCTCTACCAAGGAGATCTTACCTGAGCGGAGTTGTATGTTGGGTTGAGATTGCAGTTTATCATCAAAGTCTAACACTGAGCCGAGATGCAGTAGATGTTCAATAAAATGTATTGAGTGGATGAATTCACTTTGGTGAATTCACAAAAGCTAATTAAGAAGTTGGGTAGAAGACGTGTTTTCAAAGGTTACTTCTGGAATGTATTCAATCTTCCTAAACTTCAGTTTCCAGGGGTTGTACTGAGAATTATTGGTGTTAAGGTATATGAATTGTACTGTATCAATAAGCCCATATAAGTGTTTAGTGGAAGTACAGTTTCAGTTTGGGAGAATGAGTAGTAGTGATGCTTGCCTAACTATGTGAACAGACTTGATGCCACTGACCTGTAAAATCCCGTAAGATCGTTAAAACAGTAAATTTCATGTTGTGTATATTCTAATACAAAAGAAAAAAATTTTACTGCCAGGCATGTTGACACACAGCTGAGGCAGGAGAATAGCAAGCTCAAGCCCAGACTGGTCAACTTAGTGACTGAGATCCTATATCAAAATTAAAAATTTTAAAAAGGGTTGGGGATGTACCTTTGCACAAGGACCAGGGTTCAATTTCAAGTACTCCAAATAAAACAAACACCAACAGTTTTTTGAGATAGGGTCTCACTCTGTAGCCCTTCTTACTCCCAGTGATCCTCCGGTCTCAGCTTCCTGAGTGCTCGGATTACAGGTGTGTGCCACCTCACCTAAACTAACATTAACAGTGTAGTACATACCTATTGCCAGATTATCTTCCAGAAAATGAGCTCACACCAACTGCGCTGGAACAGAGTATTACCAATCGTTACCAGTTTGACAGGTGGAGAAAAGTCGTCTCAAATTAGCACTTAGACGATCTCCAGACGATTTAAAACCAGTAACCAAAATGAGTTCTCCAAGACCCAAACACAGTGAAAAAGAGGAGAAAGGACGTGGTGATAATGTTATTTTAATTCCAAATCTTCTCAATATTGTAAAATTCATCTTTAGCCTTTGTTCTGTGATTTTCTGCATAAAATGTATGAAGGAAAATTGTAGAGGACACAATGCGGCCTTGTAATCTTTTCATTCCTGGGCAAGGCTGTTTGCTCTGGATACAGAAACAGCCGCCTCGGAGAGTACTTAGTCTCACGCAGCCTCCCTCCTTCGCCTCAAGCTGTAACTCCTGAGCTCTGGGTTCTTCAGCGAAGAGGAAAGGGCGGGGCCAGCGCTTGTACGCATGCGCCCACGTCCTCCACCCGGGAGTGGCCGCTCTAGGCAGCGGGGAGGTCGCAGAGTTGAGGGGTTTGGGAAATGAGTGCGGCCTTTCCTCTATGGTCGCGGGCAGGGGGCGAGCTCCGCACTCCCTCCTAGGTTACCTCCGGAAGTGAAGCCGCGACCTCCCCCTCTTCTTCCGCGGGGGTCCGTGTTGGGGGCGATGGCCGGGTAGCACCCGGGATGAAAAGAATGGTGAGCTTTGGCGTGGGGGATTGCTGCTAGGGGGCAGCTTGGTTTCGGGGTGTGGTGGGAAAGATGGACCGGAGTGCCCTCGGCTGAGCCGCTCCGGCGGAGTTGGAGGAGGCACGCGGGTTTTTCTCGCACAGGCCCGGGTCCTGGGCAGCTGGGTCCTGGGCAGCTGGGTCCTGGCCGCTGGATGCAGACCCCAGCTTGGCCGACTTCCCCATCTCTTCCCAGCAACCCCACGTCTACACGGCTGGCCCCTCGGTTTCAGGGCCAGAGCCGCTAGCTCCCGGGGCTGCTGAGGCGAGGGTGGGGGAGCATCGCTTCTACCCACCTTTGATGGGTACAGAGGGACTTCAGCCCGCCAAGAGCACTGGCCACAGCTTGTGACAGCCCTACTAGACTTGATCGGGACCCTGATAGGCACCAGGTTGAGATCACGGTCTATTAGAGGCGGAGTGATTTTTTTTCCCTTGTTAAAAATGGGGTAACGGAAGCACAGAAAGGAAAAATGAAACTCCAGAGTCACAGAGGCTGGGCTAGAATCCCAGCCTCTTAGCTCAGAAATCTAAAGGTGTGCAAAAGGGAGTTTCGTTTCGTTAAAAAAGTAAAGAAATGTGGGAATGACTCAGGTTATGTCTAACTGGGAAATCTTTGGCGGGGCAGGCCCTACCCCATAGACCTTTGGTAGAAAAGAAAATGATATCCCAGCCCCTACCATGCCCTCAACTGTCGCCTTTGGGTCCTCCCCGCCGAAGCCCATTGGTCCGACCTTTGGGTGGCCCTAACGTCACACCCAGAGAAACCAATACGAAGGAGTTTTGCTCTCATCCTCGGGCACACCCCAGAGCCGGTGCAGCCTGCACGTGCCAATAGGATTTTGTTCTTGTCAATGCTGTTTTGTAAATAGCCTGGATGCATCCTGATCTGTGTTTATCTCTGGATATTTACATCAACTGATTGAAAAACTGTACTTATCCAGGGCAGTTCTATCATTTGTGTTTCCCTTCAGCGTTGACTTTTTTCCTCCAGTGTTTACACTAGCACTAACTACATAGCACTTAGGAAATTCTATTATTAATACCAATCAACCATACAGCAAACTCTTTTAAGTATTTATGAATAACTTGTCCTCTAACCCTCTCGGTAATGCTTCGAAGGTGATGTTCTTATCTTGGTCTGGTAATGGGAAATGTGAGGCCCAAGGAGAATGAATGGTGATCTTGTTTGGAATCTAGATTAGTCTCACTTCTAAGACCATACTGTTACAACTCTACCAACTTCTCCAAGGAAACTATAGTCCAGGAGATAAGAAAACTTACACAAATAAACGTTACACTAATGCGCAGAGGCAGGAAAGATTAATTTCGGTGTGTGGGAGTTAGTATTTAGAGACATGATATGAGTCTTGTCAGTGGATATCTTTGATTCAGAGATGGTATGGAGCTGTGTTACAGATGGGGAGAACAATGTGAAAATATGGAAGAACGCCCAAAGCGCAGAAATTAGTACATGGGACCACTGTGTAGTATATAAATAAAGAACAATAGAGGAGAATCACAGTAATAGTATTAGTTGATGATTTCATGGTACTTAATGCGTGCCATGCACGATTCTGAGTGTTGTGCATATAGTAATCATTTTAATCCCTTCAAGGTTATTAACATCCTTATTAGGCAGGTAACTATTAATATCCTCATTTGACAGACGAAGCAACTAAGACAGAAAAGGTGACTTGCCTAAAGCCATACAGTTAATAATTAGTTGACCTGGGATTTTCAACTCACTCATTCTGGCTGTAGAGTTTGTGCAATAATTTAAAAAGTTATTTTGATTGAGGATGAGGGTGTAGCTCAGTAGTGAAGTATGTGCTTAGCATACAGAAAGCCCTGGATTCAATCCCTAGCACTGAAATGAAGGTTATGTGGATTGCTGGCTACTTCTATGTCTAGTTTAGGACTGTGGATTTTTGTTTTCTTATAGTAGGGAAGGTTTTTGAGTAAAGGAGGGAGGGCCTTGAGGGGAATTTTGCTCTGGAAGGATGATTTAAGCTCTAAAGAGAGGAAGGAATGGTAAGAAGAGAATTTGAAGTGTTACTTACTTAAACTTCATTTTGTTTGTACCTTGTCTGAGATATATATGTGTGTATAATGGCTCTCAAGTTCCAGACTTGCCTGCATGTAATAATGTTCTGAAGGGTTTGTTTAAAACGTACAGTCAGCTAGGTGTGGTGATGCGCCCCTGTAATTACAGCACATGGGAGGTTGGGAAAGGGGGATCATGAGTTTGAGTCCAGCTTGGGCTACATAGTGAGATCCTGTCTCCAAAAAAAAAAGTAGTCACCCCTCCATCTCCTGAGATCCCATATGTGTGAATTCAATCAACCATGGACTGAAAATTTTGAGAAAAATAAAATTCCCAAAAAGCAAAACTTGAATAACAACTATTTACCTGGCACTTACATTGTATTAGGTATTTTAAGTAATCTAAAATGACTTAAGAGATACAGGAGGGTATGCACAGGGTATATGCAAATACTGTGCCATTTTAAATATGGAACTTAAATATCCCCAGATTTTGGTATTTGTGGGGTGTGGTGGAACCAATCTCTCAGGAGGGGTGACTGCATTTCTCAGCCTTGCTCCCAGACATCCTGGTTCAGGGTCACCAAACCTCCCAGGTGATTCTGACAAAGATATTAAGAGCTATTGTGATAAGCAGTCAAATATTGAGTTGATTTTCAACTAGAAATCTAGAGCCCTGCTTTGTGCCAGTCACTCTGGGGTAGAAGATAGGATTCGATGGCTTGGTTCCTGGTTACAGGAAACCCAGGTTTTGACTGGAAAGACAAAGGATGTGGCTGAACCAAAAGTATGTAAAAGGTGTAAGAGTGAATGGAATCTGAAAAGCGTACTGAGTAATACTGAATCATAACTGAATTTTTTTGTTGTACTGGGCACGGAACCCAAGGCCTTATGCATGGTAGGTACATATTCCCCCGTGCCAAAAGTGAGATACCTTAAAACTAGTAGTTAAAGTATAGATTACTTGGTAGCCATTGTAGTAAAGCTTTCTGATTTGTTGCACATCTACAAAGTTTAGTACAGGAGAAGTCCTTGAATATCTGCCACATAACACATGCAAGAGAACAGGCACAGAGAGAACCTGGATACTCTTCTTAGCCTGCCCCTCATCTTGCCCAATGTCACCTAAGGCAATAAATCACTGGGCTTCAAAATTCAGGCAGCAAGTTAATATCCAAAGGAGCTAGCTACCTTTGTCCTAGTGATTGCTGACCCTGTCCAAAAAAATCTTTCTGGAATAGGAAAAAGAAAAGGTTTTATAGACCACTTCCCTTGTATTAATAATACAAGAGCCCATTTTGCTACCTGTAGGAAGTCCACTAACATTCTGTTCTCATTGCCATTTTTGACCCTTGGCTCACTTACATTTTGGCACATTGCTGTTTCACAGTCCCTGGAAATGGATGGACACACTTTGGACATTCAATAATGTGTAAGTGTTTATAGTAGTATCTCCAGGAGTAAGCCTACTGTGCCAGAAATAGTAGTTTCCCACTCAGCCCTCCCCCTGTTTTTGCTGTGAATGTCTGCATAGAACAGCATGCTCACCCTAACAGTTATCCACTGGAGTTCTTATTCCAAAACAGTACTGTCTGATGCTAGTATGTTTTTCTCAGGGCCTAGGTAATAAAAGAGTGTATCATTGCTTTGAACTAATGACTGTTAATTACTTCATTGGGGTTAATATCTTTATGAAGGCAGGCTTTAAGTCAGACTATGATTTAAAACCTGGCTCTGCCCTTTACCAATTAGGCTTCTCTTGTCTTGTCTGAAAAGTGGAAATGACTATTAATGCTTATCCCATAGGAGTATTGGCACTTTCAAACTATAAGAGCTCAATAAATATTAGCAATTATTACTTCTGTTGTCATATATATATCATGAAAAGAAATAGCCTAATTGGAGGCCCAAAGAAGCTAAAATATTTTTCCTCCTCTCTTTTTTTCCTATGGTGCTGGGAATGGAACCAGGACTCTGAGCATGTAAGCATGTACTCTACCACTGAGCCACATCCCAAGCCCAAAATCTTTTTATTTTTGCACTGAACATCCTTGCAAAGAAATGATGGAGATCATATTGTTTAGGCTGAACCCTCAATAAATTAGCCCTTAAAAGGGTTATTCCTAAAATAATAGGAATCTTTTATAGTCACAGTAAATGTATGTTGAATGAAGAGCAGAACTATAATATACTGCTGGAGCAAGCAGTTTGAGAGTCACAATTTCTAGCCAGTTGTCGTGATGCATGGTGTATATCTGTAATCCAGCACTTGGGAGGCTGAGGCAGGAGGATCGATATGAGTTTGAGGCCAGCCAAGGCTACAAAGTGAGTTCAAGGCCAGCCTAAATTACATAATGAAACCCTCAAAAATAAAAAATAAAAATAAATACAGTTTCTAAAGAGTTAACAATCACTGAAATCATTGATGAGATCTTTAAGCTAAAATATAAAAAATCCTTAAACTCAGAATCAATGCATTGTCTTTCAGTAAGGTCAGTGGAGATTACTGTGTTGACTTTTTTCAATAGTAATGACTTTCTTACGTGGGTGATTAAGGAAGCAAACAGGTGACGGCAGTGCTATCCCCTCCTTCTGGATGGCTGCCCTGCATATTAACCTATGGATAAGCTCTCTACTAAGCCAGACAATTTTCCTTCCAAAGGAGGCCATATCTAGCTTCTTTACTTTCATAGCGTCACTGGGAGACTGTGTCCTTGTCTTCTTTCATCATTTTCAGGTAACTACACCCTGTCAGTTGGGTATGTCTTTGAGAGAACTTGAAGAGGTCATGTTTTTTGTTTTGTTTTGTTTTGTTTGTTTTTTTTGTTTTTTGTTTTTTTGGTTTTTTTCCGGTACCACGAATAGAACTTACAACCTTGCACTTGCCAGGCAGGCGCTGTGCCGCTGAGCTAAATCCCCAGCCCC